ACTTTCGAATTTTCCATTTAACAAACAACGTTTCCACATCAGGTACAGAATGCATTTGTATGACGTAACTAGAACTAGTCTTTGGCTTGGAATCTTGTTATAAAACCACTATATATTTTCCTGACCCAAATCACTGAACTCTGCTGCATGCAACCTCTCAACTGTACCAGGGGCAGCTCCAACGTGCTTGTCTGTCCATGTTTGTCCCTAAAGCCGAGGAAAGTCTGTGACCGCTGTAATAGGATAATACATGTGGGGGCAGGCATGTTCTGACCTTTTCTCTGGCTAGGATTGCTGATTATTAGACCAGAACATTTGCAAACTGTCTCTGTGAATAATTCAACTCTTCTTTAAAACCTTGATGAGGAGATCAGGGCCAGCCTGGAGCGTTTTCTGACCTTCACTGTCTCTCCCCTTATTCAGATTTGGAGGGGTTTTCTCTACCACAAGAGGATCCAGGGTCTGCCTCCCTTTTAGAAATGGGCCCTGGAAAGAAAATGAGAAAAAATCCTCACGGGAAAATGTAAATCAGGGGTGGCAAACTCCTGCCCAACCCATCTCGGCAGCAGAGTGAGGAGTAACCCACGGTATATAAAAATAGATTTAAGAAAAAAGTTCCTGTTGTATATAGCACAGGGAACTATGCTCAATATCTTGTAATAACCTTTAATGGAAAAAAAATATGAAAACAAGTACATGCATGTATATGCATGACTGGAACATTGTGCTGTACACCAGACTGACACGCTGTAACTGACGGTACTTCAATTAAAAAAGAGAGAGAGAAATGAAAGGCTTAGAGCGCATTCCTTCCCAGGGTATTTGCATTTTATCAGGAGTCAAAACCTTAGGCCAAAGGATGAAGCTCCAAGTGGAATTTCCTGCCTCAGCCCCTCCTGTTTGAAGAGGAAGCTAAATCTCCTTGCAAGACCTCTCACAAGCACAGCACATTGGCACGGGGATCACGGGGACAATGAGGACACTGGGTGCGCCTAAGGCTTAAGGGGGAAGCTTTGGCCAGAAGGACGTGCAGAGAGTTATCATCCCCTTTAAGAAGCCTTGGGCATTTAGCGTTGCTTTAAAATCCAAAGCAGACTTGTTTTTGTGGAGTTGTTTTTCCCCTCCTCCTTGGGGAACGTCTGTCATCACTTCAGAAAACACAGTCTGATCAACACACGTCCCCAAAACTTCTACGTGGTTTCCAACTTCCCTCTGCGGGGGCTGCTTCCCGAGCAGAGCTGTCTAGTCTTACCCTCAACCCAGTGTGGTCCCTGGTGCTGTGCGAGTGGCCCATCAGGAAGCACGAGAAACAATCGCAGGATGAAGCCCTGAATTACCAGACGGTATTCCAGTCCCCAGCCCGGAGCAGCACTGGGCTATGGGGAGGAGGTAACCACCCTGAAAGCAAAAAGCTCCAATCCAGCCTTAACCAATAGCAACTCACAGGGTTTTTGTGAAAGGGGGAACTTTTGGAGGGTGTTTGTTTTTCTCTTTTTGGTAGCAGCAAAGGACCCTAACCATAAATATGCATTATTATGCTGAATGAAGCGCTTGCTTCCCCGAGCTTGCAGAGCAAACTTGTAATATCTTCTCGGGGAATATTCCCTCACTGCTCTTTGAGGGATGAACCAAAGAGAGAAAAACTTGAAATGTTTTAAGTTATTTAAACCTGAGAATCACTACAGCTCTGCGATCTGTCATTCGGAGTTATCCCTACTCCAGAGGTGCACAATAGCCACACTCTGGAGCCACTTTTGTGTCACTGCCTGCAGTGTGGACCACCACCAACTGTCTACTATGGTTGTGTACAGACATCCTGCATGAGGCTATGGCATTAAATTAAAAAAAAAAAGATGTTGGGCCTTTAAGAAAACTTTTCAAGAGATCTCTGTGCTGGTTACTTTGGTCACTCACCGGGTCCATTCTCCCCCAGCCCTGTCCGGCTCCACGCCCCAGGACCCCCAAGGACAACACGCCCCCATCTCCCTTGCTGGCTGACTTCCCGATAGGGTAAGCCAATGGGAGGCAGGAGTCCAGAGGGCAGCAGCAGGAGGAGACTGGGGTATTGGCTCCCTCCCTCCCTCCCTCCGTCTCTCTAGGAACACCTCCCTCTCCTGCTGGCGGGCTTCACTCTCACCGGCTGCAGTACCTGCACTTTTCCCCCCACCGTTCAAGTCTAGGGGTGACGACAACTTCCCACTATTCCCAGTGCAGGGGTGAAATCCCCTGGTGGCCGCCTCCATCTCTGCGAATAGTCCCTTCATTCATGTGTCTTCACTTGAAGCAACTGAATGGGATGCTGTTCCTGCCTGGACCCTACGGATAAGCCCTCCACACTCATTTCACCTACTCCAGACAGGGAGGTCAGTGACCATCCCCAAACCTGTTTAGAATAAAATTTAGCTAATGAATAAAGATAAGCCTCGTGGCAGGAGGGTGCTGGGGTCCACCCAGCTGAAATCTCCAGCCCAGAGAGTTGTCTTTAGCTTTAGAAGGAAAAGACAATCCGGTCGCAATCTTTGTCCCTAGAGCTGATTTCCACCCCCCTTCCACTCGTGAACATCAAGATACTAGACAGACACCTTTTTCAGATAATATTTAGAGTTGGTGGGAGTTTTTCCTCCCGTTGAATTTCTTTCAGTGGCTGGTGTTCCTGAGCTGGACCTTCTCTTAAATCCCTGCTAACTGTGGTGCAATCATGAGGTTGGCAGCATTTTCCCTCCAGCATCCTCACCCATCCCATCAGGGCACCTCTCTCTCTGAGATTTCAGTCCCCCCTGGTCACATGTCCTACATCCTCCCTCAGTCCCATTCCCAGATGTTAACTTATCACCGAGGTACTGGCTGAATGTGCAGGTGTCTCTTTTTTTTTTTCATGTTTTAAAACAATATTTAATTCAATGGAGCATTGCTTAAGATATAATGTTAAATAAGAAATGATATGAAATATACATACAGTTGATTCTAATATCATTTAAAATATAAGTAAATTCAGTGATTATGCAGAATTGGATATAATCGATAGGCTTTCATTCTTTCCACCCTCAGTCCAAGTGTCATTCTCTGTGTGACGGCATTGCTGATACACAACCCAGACTGGCTAATTCTCCACCTTCTCCCCAGGGTGTCTCAAGTGTCCCTGGAGAACAGGTCACAGTCACCAGGGAGTTAATCTTCCTACCAGACCCAGGAATCAGCAGGAGAGACTGAAGTTTCTACTTGTGGGATGAGAAAGGCTGCCTAGTCAGAGAGGGTTGAGGTGTGATGCCTCCCTTGGCCCTTTAAAGAGGGGCTACTGAGAACTGTCAAATGATGAGCTACAGAGCAGGCATGACAATTGGCCCAAATATTATTCGGGAGCAAATATAACTGCTGATCCTGACTTTCATTTTATGCAACTCAAAGAAACTCCTAAGTCTCCCCAACTAAGTCACAACCCAAGATAATGTTTTCAAATCCAAGTGGTCCCTGATCGTCCCTTCTTCATTCTCCCCAGCCTCACCCCCATCCTCCCTCCCGCTATGCATTTTCCTAACCACTCTTCCTCCTGGATGCTTTTTCATGAAGTGGAGTGCTCAAGTCGCCATCCCTCAAGGCCACAGACTCCAGATTCCTTGCCAGTCACAACCTGGAGAAGTAACCACGTGCAGTTAGCTGTGTCAGTACATTTCCAAGGCCTTTTTTAGTGTTGCATACAGCTGCTTACAGCTTAACAAGATTTTCTGCCTCCAACATTTTTCAAGGCAGTCAAAGTTATGGGTGCAGAGATCCTGTTGGATCTTTCTGGGCCTGGATTGCTAGGATTTGCTCTGGAGAACAATCCTTATTGACAAAGGAAATGTTGAAGGACAACATTGCAGGGGCTGCCCTAGATCAGGCTCCTGGTGAGAACTAGGGAAGGTTAATTATAGTTCAGATGCCCTTGGTGACTTCCACCATATTGCAGCTCTGAGGGCTCAGGATTGGCCAACGATGCTGAAATCTCCCATCATGGCAACAATAGGGCGCGGGTGAAGGGAGCTTTCAAGGGGAATGTAAAATTTCAGAATTAAGATCTCTCCTTTCATTCTGTAGTCAGTAAGCTAAGTGCCCATCTCCAGGGATGCCACAAAGTCAGTGGATTATGGAAATAAGGGGGGAAATTAAGCATGGAATGTGTCCGGTGTAGGGTGCTGGGAAAAGCACGTGGATAATAGTTCTCTCCTATGTCTGATCTGGGGCCAGTAAAGGACTGCTAGTGAAAGCCGGAGCAGAAAGTCAGGATGCAGACTAGCCAGACACTGGCATGTGTAGTTACCTCTCCCCATCTCTGATCCTCATCAACAGAAAAATCACGAAGCTCTCCCAAACTCAGGAAGCAATGTAGCAGCTACGCTCGATGCCAACATGTGACAGAGGACAGTTATCAGAGAGCCACCAACATCCAGACTCCACAAGGTGCCCTGGAGTGGATCAGATCCCGTGACCACTCCCTTCTGAACATGCATGGGCATTTCTGATTGGGTCCCCTTCCAACCAACTTTGATTACCTTTGGCTACGTGCTATCAGTAAACTCTAGGGTGTCTTAATGAGAAATGGAAGGCTTCTTCCTCTCCAAATCACCATCCTTGATCAAAATCCTTGGTCTTTGCTAAGAGAATTTAAAATGAGACCCTATTTATGTATGAATCATTAAAGATGACTTCCATCTGTGATGAATTTTCACCCCAGGATCTCAAAAGCCTTGCAATCTTGAGATTTGGTTCCAACCATATTTCACACTGAAGGCTGACACCTGTTAGTGGGTCATGGGATCAAATCAGCTGGGCATGAAAAAAAAATGGAATAAAAATATCATACTTGGTAAGCAGAAGTATTGTTTTAAGAAAATAATATACAAAGTCTTTCACCGTAGAGGATTACTCAAAGAGAGGAAAGAACTCTGTAGATAAACTGTCAAATTATGAACCTCTCCCTGCCCATTCATTACCTACAGACAATTATCCTGGGGACATGGGTGCTGCCCTGGACAGACACTGGGGGCCTTAGACACCCTAGGTAGGGGCCAGGCAGGGAAAGGAGAGCCTTAGCCCCCAACTGAGAAAGGGGGCACCAATGGACCCATCACTTCCATTACACAAACTAAATGTCTCCTCCTACTCTGGCACACAGGTCAAGTTCCCTCCATCTTTTTTCTCTTTTCTTTCCTACGAAGACCTTGAAACAAAAGTGTTCACTTTCTACCTTTATCTTCCCAACTTCCACCCATGCCTCCACCCACTGCAAACTGGTTTCCACTCTTAAATTTCCACTGAAATTGTTCTGGCGAAGATCACGAACGATCTCCCTCTTGAAACGCACACGGCTTTCTGACATCACCCCGCAGAACTTCT